GTTGGTGGCACCGCGCCGCGGGATTTCCATTTACACTTCTCTGTCACACTCAGCTGTCGCTGCAGGCCCTCTGCGCCGTCCACCCGCTCAATGCCCTGCCTTCCAGGACGGCAGCGCCATCAGCTGGCCCCACGGGGCCCCCAGCATCTTTGCCCTCTTCCTGCCCGGCTATCTCAGAGGGGGCATCACCTTCCCTCTACCCCCTTTGCAAGCCTTCCTTCTTGCTGTCACTTGGCAGAAACAGTTGGGGTTTAGAAGGCTCTGTAGGTGTAGGGGCAAGACCCCAGTGTGGCCGGATTTCTGCCCTTGGGGAGCTTACACCTTTCTGAGGACAAAACCCTCCTCTCATCTGCCCTGTTCTTATCCTCCTCCTGTGGTTGCCTTTGACACGTTCCTTAATCGTGTTTTCTACTTCCCATACTCTGAGGCTTTGACATCTGGGGCCTTGGTGAGCCCGGAGAGACTGCCCCTCCTGGGTAGCCAGTTCCCAGAGAAAATAAACAGCTCACCTGGGAGCTCATCTTTCCTATGCAAACCACCCCCTCTGCTGGGCTCACACACCCTGGGCCGTTAGCTGGATGGCACCAGGCCTAATCACCCTGGAACCAGGGAGTAGAGGGCTAGGAACCAGCCCATCCTAAGCCTGGTCCCCTGCCTTGCCCGGGCCTCCCCACAGAAACCCCAGTAAAGGCTCTTGCCTGTGTCCCCCCTCACTCCCTCTGCCTCCTGAGGGACGCTGGTGCTTCCTGGCGTGGCCCTGGTGGCGTGGTATAGTGTACTCCTCCTCTTGAGAACAGTGAGGGGCAAACTGTCTCCTGCTCTGTTGCTCTCGCCATGGCCCAATAATAATGAAACCTGCATCTGAACACACTGCTGCTCGGCTGTCCCCGCACGGCACCCTCACCACGGGACGCTGGCGCCGCACTGTCCACTCTGCCAGTGCCCACCTCCGTGACCCTTCTTTATCTTCCTTGGAGGCCCTGCTTCCCTCTTCCCACCTTCAGGTTCTCTGTTTCCCTGTTTTCCACAATTTTCTCTTTTATCAGCCACTCCTATAACTGGGATGCTGTAACAAAGTATCAACAAGTAAGCGGCTTAAACAACAGAAATTCCTTGTCGAGGCCGGAAGTCCTGAAGATGGAGGTGTCAGCAGGGTTGGTTTCTTCTGAGGGCGTGAGGGAGAATTTGTTCCAGTTCTCTCTCTTTGGCTTCAAGATTGCCGTCTTCTCCCAGGGTCTCTGCACAGACTTCCCTCTGCCTGTGTTTGTCACTTCCCACGGGGTTCTTTTTATAAGGACACCAGGCATACTGGACTGGGTCCTCCCCTGCTCCAGCAAGACCTCATCTTAACCAGTTACATCTGCAACAACCTTACTCCAAACGAGGTCACATTCCGAGGTTCTGGGGGTCAGAACTTCAACAGAGCCTTCTGGAAGAACACAATTCAACTCGTAACAGCTGCCAACTCCCAAATCAAATTCCCTGGTTGAATTTCTTAAGGGTTATAATTTGAATTCTAAAATCAACCTCAGAGATGGGGGTGTTATTTAAAAAAAAAAACAAGCAGATTTCTGCACCCCACCCTAAATCCAGAGAAACCCAATCCCCGGGCGTTAGGCAAGGCTCTGGGAGGGCCTACTGCTGCAGTGTCACCCTCAGCAGGCCCAAGTGGCATTTGGGCTCTTTTCTCCTCTGTTGGAACTGCCATAATAGCCTCCTCAGAGGTCTTCCTGTCCGTCTGTCTGTCACACTATGCTGATTGGACTTCATAATGTGCTTTTCTACATGCATTTTATGTAATATCTTTTTTTTTTTTTTTTGAAACAAAGTCTTGCTCTGTCACACAGGCTGGAGTGCAATGGCAAGATCATAGCTCACTGCAGCCTCAAACTCCTAGGCAGCTCACATGATCCTCCTGCCTCAGCCTCCACAGTAGCTGGGACTACAGGCATGCACCACCGAGTCAGGCTAATTTTTCCAATATTTTTTGTAGAGAGAGGGTCAGGGTCTCACTATGTTACCCAGGCTGGTCCCAAACTCCTGGCCTCAAGTGATCCTCCCACCTCGGCCTCCCAAAGTGCTGGGATTACAGGCATGAGACACTGCACCCATCCCTGAGGCGGTATTTGATGAGAAATTATATTAATATTATAACCGTGTTGTTTCAAAGAGAAGCATAAATACTTTGCATCTTTGAACACAGCTACATAAAATGTTTTTGTTTGAGTGACCACCATGTAGATGTCCTCCCTTTGAATCAAATACACCACCGATAATGAAAGGTCTTGCACATTCTTTAAGTGGTCAAGGATCAGGCCCACATGCACTTATCCACAATTCCGAAATTCAAAAGACCCTGAAAGCCAAAAGATGTTTTAAGAACTCATTTGATGGCAAAACCTGACCTGAAGCTATTTACGGGCTATATTCATCCCACTTGCTGTGACTATGTAGGCATTTTTCTGCAAAAATGTTACTTGATTCAAGATTTTCTCCTCAGGATTCACTGAGGTTTTACCACTGAATATTCAGTATACTCAGTGTATTAATCTTTGAAAAAAACCCTGAAATCAAAAACACATCTGAGCCTAAGGGTTGCAGATAAGGAATGAAGGACCTATTGTGCAAGCCCAGTGTAAGGCTGATAATAAAAAAATTACAGATAATTTTCTTGCTTCATGACGTGTTAACTACTTTGTGGTATCTACTTCGGTGCTGTAGATGAGGCCACTTTTGATTCTAGAAGTTCAGTGTTAACACTGCATTGCATTGGCTGTACATTGGCTGATCTAGATTATTTCTAAAGTCTTTCCAAAGACCTAGAGACAGAGGCCACCAAGACTGTCCCTGTCATTTCCCTATTTAATGGAAATTCTCAAGGTCACACCATGGCCATCTTGGGAACCCTGTGATCTTTTTTTGGCACTCCTACCTGAAGTATTTAATATATTCATCAGAACACAGGAAATTAAGTTGGAAGGTGTTCTTCTTACACATGTATCGGGTTAGAACTTTATGGGATAAAACCATCAATTTTAATATAAATTCATGTTATGAAATGAAACATATTATCAAAACATTCCATTCAAAAGTGTAGTCTCTACAAAGTGCAAGTGGCAAGTTGAATTCTCCCATTACTTTTCCTCCACAAATAAGATTACTTACAGGAAATTTTCCCTCCCTTCTGTGTGGGCTCCACTGGAGCATTTTGTTGCCCACTCAGAACACCCAATTGAGTCAGGGAGATTCTGCTACAAAGGCATTTCATTGGTTTTATTTCACAAGGAAACAATATGAAGTGAAGCCAATTTATTCTTTCTGAGTCTTTAAATGCACCTGACCTCTCGCTATGAAATAGTGATAGCACTGTCCACATCTTCCAGGGTTGTGTGAGTTAGCGATAACGGTTTTGTATTTTTATTTTTTTTTTGCCAGGAATACTATGTTGAGAACAGCAATAATTTTTATAAAGTACCAAAGCACAAGAGAGCCCTGAGTAAATGATGGGTGTGTGGGTATCTTCGTGTGTTTATAACCACCGTTTCTATCAGGAAGAACAGCAAGGCTCATCTTCACTCATCTAAAAACTTCGCGGAGCCAAAATGTAGGAGATAGGGAACTGGAGTCTCTTCTACCAGGCGGAAGTAGAAAACAGAGGGAGATGCCAAGGGGAAAGGTGGGAGGTGAGATGCTCTTGGCTGAGGATGCAGGAAACGCCCACCAGCTGGCTGCGGAACAGGCAGATTTGACCAGAAGAGCTGGGCAGCAACCGCAGCACCAGCATTTCTCTTAATTGGGTTGAACATACAGAGGCTGGGTTTTCAGTGTCGAGTACCTTTTGGCAGTTACTGCCCTGGAGGTAGCTGGTGAGAGCGAAGGAAGAACAAAGAGAAGCAAGCCCCACAGGCAGACTGGGAAAGGAGTTCATAATTCTGACTGTTTCAGTGCCCTTGGTCTGTCCACTGTGTAGCCAGAGAACCCGAGTCTCTTCTTTTATTAACTCTTTGTGCACTCTTGGCACAGGGCTGCCGGCCTCTGTGGAAGAGTATTGTCCCCAGAAGGGGCCCTGCCTGGGCAGCCTGCTTTTCCGGTGGCTCATTACAAGGACTCTGCAATGGGATTCCACAGAACCCAGGGAGCCAAGTGTGGAGGGGCGACAGAACCCCCAAGTGGCCCCTTCTATTCAGGTGTGGTGACGTAAGCTGTTCTGCAACCACCAGAGACCCTGAGATGATACAAACGCTGCTCAGCCCCTCGTCAGGCCTGTCAGTCCCGGGGAGCAGGAATTCCAGGGCCAAGGACGGAGACTGTGCTCACAGGCCGGGGAGTGAACATCTGGCTTCAGCACGTGCACGTGCTTCTCTGAGCGGGGAAGTCAAATGGAGAACAGCAAAAGGAAGCAGAATGGGAAGAAGCAAGACAAGGTGAAGACACATTTAGTAATTTTCTAGACACTTCTTTTTGCCTTAGGGATTCTTCACACGTCCTCTCCAGGTGACATATTGGTTCTGAAATAAAATGTGAACATGGGGATGTATGTAGAAAACTTACCGCTGTGAATCAAGTGACCAGCTGTGCAGACATTATATTCCATCTCTGTGATTACGGCACTTGTGAATCAAGAATTTTAGAATATTTTAGAAAGAACATTTTAAAAACATCGCATAGGAAAAGTAGTAAAAATGTAGAGAAAATTGGAGTATTTTATCCCTTCCCCTAATTACCTGAAGCCTAAACAAAACATACCAAATGAAATTTTCATGGTGCTGCTAAACCTTTTGGAAAACAAATCCTGCTTGTCCCCCATGAAGTGACATTCAGGAGTCCAGGCCATCAACGCCCGAGTTCTCTGATCTGAAATGCTCAAAGAGTGGAGGTAGAACTTGCACAAGTTTAAACCACGTAGCTCCGTGGAGCCACCTCTCATTCCCCCCACCAGTTGGTACTCATTTTTACACTGAAAACAGTTAAGAATATAAACACAAGTAAAAAGCTTGAGATGTTATTGGACCAGGTGTATTAAAATAAAATCAAAAAATAGAAATATTAGGTATATACACGACAGCATAAGTGAAACATAATGTGATACAGCAGTTTCCATTCAAAGCTTACAGTAGAAAAATTTAGTAAACAAAACCTCTTGAACTTCCTGCCATGGTGGCTCATTGCAGCCTCTGTAGTCACTTATTTTCCTTCATATCTTTGAGTATAAATAGTCTCAAACACATCTTACGCAATTTAGAAAAGATTGCTGAATCACAAAAATAGCCCCAAATATGGCATTTTATCTCTCTAGAGTACAACTAAATTAATATTTGATCCTGAAAATAACGTTCAAATCTTTTGAAGCAACAAAGGAAATTCTTATGTTTTAAAAGGCCCTATAAGGTTCTGCAGAGATTAGAATCTTACTATTCTTCCAAACTACATTGTCAAAAAAGTCTGTATATAAGAAATTGTGGAAATGAAAGAGCCGTACTGTTAAAAATATTACTTCTTAACGTAGAGCAGTTTCTGAGGCTCTTCTCCCGGGAGGTCTGGGCGAGCCCCATGCAGTGAGAGGTCCACATTGCACACAATGGCAGCTGTGCGAGCTCACGGGCGACACCCCTGCTGGAGAAGAGAGACGCACGTGCACCCCTTCACGTCGAGTGGATCTGAGCAGTGCCCATGGGAGGAAAATGGTTAACAGTCTCAGATTTTGGTGGGGAGGAGTTGGGGTGGGGAAAAAATAAACCACTGAACTCTGGGAAATACATTTTTAAGCTGCTGACTTCACCTACAAAATCTGATAGGTTGGATTAGTAATTTTTTTGTTTAACAAGCCAAAGCATAGAGAAAATATAAAGAGATGTCATGCTATGGTTATTTTAGTTTTATAAATGGGTTTAGTTCTGCTTCTAATGGGGATTCATTGCAACGGTCTCTGAATCTTTGAGTCACATGTCCGATTGTAAATGTAGGGCCAGCTGGGTGCATTTTTGGAGAGAATAGGTGTTTTCTTCTTAGGAGGCTGTATTCAGACGTTGGTCAAGCAAAGCGAGATTACAGCTGAGGATCAGTCCAAGCTGCAACTCGCTGGGGCATCAGTCTAAGAGAACCGAATACTTTCCCATTTCTAGGGTGTTCTTCCTGAGTAATGCAGCCTCTACTTTCAGGACAGGCATGGCAGATGATCCCTGCACAGGAGATAATCAGTGCAACCCGTGATCGTTACTTTTCCTCGCTGAGTGAGGCAGCCACCCCGGGCCTATCGAGCAGGTCTCCCTATGCTCTAAGGTTGCTGCTGGTACTGTCCTTCCGTGGCGGTGTAGAAGTCATCCAGGACGCTCTGCAAGTAATCAAATGTTGGCCTCTCTTCTGCCTTTTCTTTCCAGCACATTTTCATAATGTCATAGAGCTCATCTGGGCAGTTCTCCACGCGGGGCATCCTGTAGCCCTGGGACAGGGCGGTCATCACGTCGGCATTCGTTCTCCCTGGGGCAAATAACAAAACAAACCGATGCTATTTAGAAACCTGATGGAGGATCGAGTGCTGCAGTGGTCTTTTTGCTATTCATACCCTGCAACCATGATTGGAGCAAGCTTTACTGAGGCTGTTAGCAGCTGAACTGTGTCCTCCCCAAATTCACAGGTTGAAGTCCTTACCTTCGGTACCTCAGAACGTGACTGTAGTGGGAGATAAGGCCTGTAAAAGGTAATTACGTTCAAACAAGGTCATTAGGGTGGGCTCTACTCCACCATGACTCATGTCCTTATAAGAAAAGATTAGGACCCAGATAAGTACAGAGGGAAGAACATGTGAAGACACAACGAGAAAGCACCATCTACAAGCCACGGAGAGAGGCCTCGGAAGAAACCAAACCTGCTGGCACCCTGACCTTGGACATCCATCCTCCAGAGCAATGAGAAAATAAATTTCTGATGTGTAAACCACCCAGTCTGGGGTATTTGTTATGGCAACCCTAGCAAACTAATACAGAGGCTAAGGAAATTGCTGTAAGCAACTCAATAAATAAGTTTTAGGGTGGAGGGGATCAAGACAGCATTCAGTCCGCCAAAGCAAAAGCAGGCAAATGTGGTTAAGTAGAAGCCAAAGCAAGTTCTCTTTAATCACAAAAGGATATTGGACTTACCTGACCTTTTAAATTAACCACTCAAACCCAATTCTAACACTCGATCTCAATTACTTTCGTAGGATAGAATTTTTACATCTTCTACTCATAGTATATTTATGAAAAAAATCATTTTCACACACATTATCTCATACTGATGCATTTTTTTAAATTGGCTTTTCATGGTACTAACATATTTACTTAAAGTCAGCATCCTTAAATCAGCCAGACCAATTGATTATATGCTTGCCAAATAGTTAAAAGCTCAGGGATTAATTTGGAAAATAATGATGGTTTAGCTCATCTGAAGGACCCCTGCCTGTAGTTTGTGCTATGTATATTGTAGGAGTCAGTGTCTTCTGAGAGCAAGATATTCATTCACAGGAAGTGGAGCTAGTTCACATATTCGTTAAATCAGTGGCTGGCCAGAGTCAAAGCTCACACTGACTCTGGAATTTGCATATTCTCAACCTCCAGCGAGGGCACTAAGTGCTTTTTATTCCTATTGTGTCTGCAAGAGGACTGGTACTAGAGGATGGCTTTGATGCGGTCAGATGTCTCAGGGTAGTTCAGAAGATGAACTGTCATTCTTTGATCCTGAAAATGGCTTTAAGGGAAAAAGATCACTTTAGTAATAACTAAATTTTCCTCTGTTATTAAAACGGGATAGAGAAATGTGCCCATGTAGCGGCACCTATCCACATGCATGTGTTTTGCATGTTTTGTGGATACCGTATCCTGTCGGGGATGTGAGCTTCTCTAGAGAAGACTGTATTTCATGTAGAATATTTTCATGCAGAATATATACCGTACCTGGCAAATGAGAGGCACTCCACTCATCGCAACCAATCTCCTTTCCATAGTTATTTCCTTTCCATAGCTATAGCCTTTACTATCAGCAGTCACTGGAAAGATTCTAATTGATAGGTAGTAGCTTTAGGGGAAATGGTCTTTACTAGATTTGAAACAGAACCTTCTTTTGTATGTTTTCTCTAATCTGCGTTTTTCAAGTTGTGGGTCACCACTCACTTGGGATCAACAAATTTATTTTTTTAGGGCACTACCAGTATTTTAAAAAATTAATTATAACAGAATAAAATAGAAAAGATAAAAAACATTGCACGTAGTAAAGGTCAGTGTGGTTTTGTGAAATTTTTGTTTCATGTATGGCATGGGTTTCTGTGTGCTTCTCACAAGGGCTTATGATCAGAGAACTTTGAGACCCTCTGCCTTTAACTAACCTTTCGTTGTCTAAGGACACAGTGAGCCTTCCTGAATTTAAACCCCTGAAAGAAGACATGATCATTTCTGTCTTGGAAGAGCCCTTGTTTTTGAAATAGATCCAAGCAAACTTCTTAATCATTCAGATCTGTTGAGAGTTATTTACATGGTGAATTAATTTTTCTCAAGTCTACTTCTGAAATACCATCTTCAAGTATTTATGTAATTGGAATTTTCTAACTGGGAGACTTCACTTGATCGTCATTGCTCAAAGCCAAAGGCAGATTTGTGTTCTCTTCTTTATCTGGGGTTTTAGTCTCCATAAAATTATGTGGTTTCAGCATTGCTCTGGCTCTTGTAAATAGCCAAGCTTGCTTGGATAAATTTCAGAAGAAATATCTGTGTTTACTTCTGCATGGGCCTTGGATGAAGTTCTGGGTTCTGGTAGGAGGACTAACATACAGGATGATATAAATGGCAACTGGTCCTGCAAACTTGGTTGGGAATATCTGTTTCACTCCCTTCCTGGAGAACCCTCAGTTGCATAAAAAGTCAGAATGTGCCCACAGAAGATAAACCTTTCTAAGGTCACCCAAGCTCCACTGAAGCTTTTTTCTTCCTTGTTCTTGTATGTTCTCCTAACGCTGAAGAACTCTCTCAGCAATGCTGGTAAAGGCCAGGCACGCTCCATCCTGCCTGGGGAATTTGCCTTGCTGAGAGGAGGTGGAAGAAGGGAAGCTGAAGTCTATCTTTTTCTGTGCAAGTGAACCAACAAGCAAAATAAGCTAAATGACAAGTTTTATGGAAGAAAGAAAGAAAGGGGAGAGAGACCTCGACCAGACCCTAAGATTACACTTGATAGTTGGTAGCTGGACTGTTGCTAGGTTAAAGAAAGCAAACACCCATTGGCTGGTGATCTCCTTATTAGGCAAGCGATTTCATATTCCATCTTGCCTCCTTGCAACAGGCCTTTGAGTGCTCAGTACGAGTCGTGAACTAGCACTAAGCTCCGAGAGATGCAACGATTAAGACAGAGCATTGTCCTCAAAGGGCACGCAGCTCAGTGGGGACGATGTACTCACAGAGGGAGGGGGAGAGGGCAGGGATCAGCAGAGACTAAAAGTCAGTCAAGGAACACAGGAAGGAGAAAAACATGGGAGAGCAGAGATGATGAAAGCAACAGGGGTTTGGGGCAGGGAGGGGAGCGCAGCTGTTCCACAAGCCATGACGGTCTCCAGTGACACAGAGGCAGTGCCGTTGTGTGCGAGGGAGGAGGAACCAGCTACCCTGGGACCACAGCCTCCCGCCCAATTGTACTCCTTCCAAAAGGGCAGATTATTTTTATTTTTGGAACATTGCTTGTGACCGAAGTGAGCATTTGCAGTAGCACAGATTTCTTGACTCTGATTCACGCCTGGCATAAAGATGTACCAGGTATATTTGGTAAGGAACAGCCAGAAAAGACATGATGCTTCAGAAACTTTTGTCATTTTCAAATCTTTCTCTTTACAGGAGCAAAGCAAAACAGAAACCCCTCTTTTTTCTTTAAAAAATTTACAGAGAAATATAATCACAGGTTTGATTTTAAGATAATGAAGTAAAGATCTTTTGCCTCCTCTCCCTTTCTTTTTTTTTTTTTCTTCTTTTTTGCTGTAACAAAAAAAGAGAACAAGAAATAGAAACTTAAATCCCATCTCTGATGAAACTAAGAGACCCGTGGCAGCCAGAGGCAGAAGTCTGAACCGCTTCTGAGACAGAAGTGTAACCACAGGGCCTGCAGAGGGACAGCAGGCGAGACGGCTCTCGCGGGGTGGCTGGCACACCCGTGGCCCCAGACAGGGTGACACCCACAGCCCGCCCGGCAGTGCCGAGGCTAATGCTGGAGAAACTGAGCTGAGACACTCCGTGCTCAGAAACACCAGGCCCAGTGGAGATGGGGCACGTGTGGGAGGGAGACCAGGAGTGAGGAGAAAGACTGAAGGCAAGGAAGAGAGACACTTCTGGATGGGCCTTGGGGACGCTATGCTGAGTGAAATAAGCCAGACACAAAAGGACAAAACTGATTCCACGTATGGGAGGTCTCTAGGGGAGAAACTGATCACAGCGGTCGCTGTGGGGCAGGAATCGTATGGCCAAGGACAGAGTGGGCAGCCTTTCGCCTCACGCCTCTTTGTATCGCTTGAATTTAAAACCATGTGACCATATTCTTACTTAAGAATAAGTACGATGGAAAAAAAAAACTTTATTCAAGAGATAAAAGTATAACATTGAGAACTATGAGCAGCAAATACTAAAATAAATAACCAAAATTCCTGCAAGGAGATTTCTTTGAGGAGCCCCAGTGGGGCCCAGGTGGCAATTTTTCATTAGAAGCTTTTTAGTACTACCTGACTTTCTAATGTGCATATGTTACTTGGATAAGAATAAAATATTTACTAAAAATATCATTGTAAAAAATTACAAACCAGAAATATATCAAGAAGAAAATTAATATAACTTATTATATAACCTAAAATTAATATAACCTATCATCTCTTTATTCAAGGATAATAACATTTGGTATATTATACTGCTTAGCAGTTTTTTCCTCTAAAAATATGTGTTCGTTTTATATATAGCTTTCTTATTTCTTTTTTGTATTTTTCCTCTTTTATTTCCTTTTTATTTTGCAGAGGTAGGCATATGGCTTCTAAAGTACTTTAAAAAAAAGAAAAACCTATCCAGCACTTTACCAGGTAAAGTATTCTCAGATAATTCAATTATTGATGGTGTCTCTTCCACGAACAGTTTTACAACGGCGGTGGAAAACGGCATCCTTTGGCAATGTTCACTGATTTCTATGCTCTCAGTAAGTCAAGTCCTCTGATGTTCAGGTAAACAGGATTGCTTGATTCCATTCATAATCCTTAACGCTAGAGGCTCTCGTAACATACAACTCTAATGACTAGAAAATCCGTCAATCCAGAATGCCCAAAGCTCGGTTCTTACAAGGGACAAGCCAATGGGGGGACAGACCAGTCAATGGTTTCTGGTTGGTTCTACTCTATATACATATATATGTTTATATTAATATGTATATTATATGTATACATACATGTGTATGTGTGATTCTCACCATTCTTCTACTGGTTTGTTTATATATTTTTTATGATTTTTCACCCCAAATGTCAAATATTTCCAAATCCTGGGCGTTGAGCACAGTGGGTGAGGGTGAGCTCCTGGGTGGCACATGGATCTGGGGCTCAGAGCGGCTTTGCCACCAGCGAGGGGCCCAGTCGCCTTCTCTGAGCCTCAGGGGCGGTGGCTGCGCATCACAAGTAGCACGCCACAGTATTACACATTATTTATGAGGTTAAAAGTTTATTTTGCAAGGTGTCAGATTACGTATATAATCTGAATATATCAGCTTTCTCTCTCACAGACAGATCATAGAAACAGATGTGGGCACAGACACAGAGATACAGATGTATAACGTGAGAAGTCTGGGATGGTCGGAAATATCTTTCCTATTTTGCGGCAGTGTTAATTCAGTAACTTCAGCATCTAGAGCCAGGGTCAGCTGGAATGTGAAACATGGGCACGAGAGGGATATCCTGGGACAGCTGCCCACCGTGCAGGCACCCCGGAAGGTTGTCAGCCCCCAGCTGGTCCCTGCCAGGGTTCTCAGCGGCTCATCCCCCCACAGCAGTGGGAGTGATCGAGCACACAGGCAGCGTGGCTGCGCTGTCCAGAGCCTTCCCCGGATTCCATCCCAGCAGAGTAAGACGGGACACTCTCACATGGCCACTAAGGCTCTCCCCGAGCCGCTTCGCCCCTACGACAGCCTCCAGCTTTCCAGTCCATAGCATGGCGACTGCTAGAGATTAAATGGCTTAGGGGAGTCATTCATTCATTCATTCCTCAAATTCTCATGGAGGCGCAAACCACGCTGGCCCTGCTCCCGTTGGCCAGGCCCATGGACTGGCTGCTCCCCTGTAGGGACAGTTGTCCCCCAGGGGACCCCGAGGATCCCCCACTCACATCTCTGAGTCCCTGCTGTTGCTGGGGCCTTTGGACAAAACCAGCAGTTCCCCTACCCCTTCTGTGAGCACGCACCAATCCCTAAACCACGCACGTGGGCTCCACCGCACACCTCACCACCCCTCGGGCTTGACGCCCATTGATAACCATCAGCCTCTCCCTGCTAGAATGTTCGCTCTGGAGGGCAGAGATGGAGACCACCGAATCCATAGTGCCCCCACAGTGCCTGGCACACTCAGATATTTTTTGAATAAAGAAATGATTTAAACATTAAAAATTTAATTTTAAATTTACCTTATCCATAAATTTTGTTAAGAGTCAAACATTAAGGAGATTTTGAAGGCTTTGGGGGAAATCCGTCATCTTAACCACACCAGCACAGACCCTAGGAAAAGGGAGGGATGGGCAGAATCTGGCTTCTTGGGCTTCTGGTGTCAGCAGTCTGGAAACACTGAACCACATCCTCACTGATGCCAGCATGTTGGAGAGCAGAGGGACCTTTCACTGATAAACACAGGTGATCGTTTCCTGAAGAGGCAGGGACTCCAGAGCGCTTACTACAAAAGCTGTTTCAGAACTCAAAAGCACTGGAATCCTTGTCCCTGTGTCTGTTTCCTCCCCCTGAGGTGCAGTGCCGTGGAGGCGCACTGGGGCCTGCTCCATCCCAACCTCAACACCTATGGTGCCAGGCACCTTCCAGGCATCAGGAAAGCAGGGAAATTAATTAGCGGAGAAAAAGAATATGCACTCAATGAAATAAGAAGGCAGGGAAGCGTCTGAGCATATTTTAGAACAATTTCCACTAAATACAGTGAGAATGAAATTCTGGCACAAAGTGCTTGTTCTTCGCTTCTGATTAGAGGGTTTTTTGGTAATGCCTTTGTCCAATTTGACTTTTTCCTCCTATAGCCCAGTTAAACGTAAACAGGTAAGTAAACGATACCTGGGTAGGGAATTTTCCCATAGGTGACGATTTCATACAGGAGGATTCCAAAGGACCACACATCAGACTTAATAGTGAAACACCCAAAGTTGATGGCTTCTGGAGCTGTCCACTTGATAGGGAACTTAGCACCTACGGAAGAAGACACAGGTTCTTATCTCGGAACCTGAACTTACACATAAAGTCATGGACACATGACCCTCATACCTTCCTCTTTTGATTTTTGGCTTAAAATATTTACTTTGAGTAGGTAACACATACACATAGTACAAAATGGAGATGTGCAAAATACCATACTAAAACAGTTTGCTTCCCTCCTCTGTTTCCCTTTTGCATATTCCTCTCTAGAAGGAAGTTTCTTGAGCACATTCCTGGGTATATTATAACTAGACAAATTTAATGTAAAAAAATGACACGGACTGAAAAGGAATTTATTCTTAGTATGTGCATTTGCCCCTCAACACCAGCCTCTAAAGCATGTCTAAAATGTTCAAATTTTCTCTAATGAACCCATACTATGTTTATAGGGAATGTAAACATTTTTTAATCAGTGTACGTTTATGGATAAATATCTTAAACCTGTCCCATTCTTTCACCTGATAGGACAAAACATATCCCACTTTCAGGATGAGGTGGAATGACGCTCTGCCTAGAATGAGCTAGTGATGAAACTGCATGTCTCACGAAGAGCTGGTGAGACCAAGGGCCCGGGGACAGGCAAGCCTGGCACAGGGAACGTGCAGGGGCCCCTTGAGGGAAGCAGGGACTCAGGCCCCCAGGAAAGGCTAGGGGCTTCCACCAACCACATTTTTAAACACATATTTGCCTTTATTGTGTCTTTGCTTGAGAATTTTTTGTGGTGCCCAACCAAGATTGCAAATGCAGATGAGAACAATGAGGACTGCAGACAGCCTCGTGCGGTGGCCATTGTGTGCCTGGCAATGTGATCACACGTCCCTGCATCAATCCCCACCCAGCGGAGCAGCGCACAGGGCAGGCAAGCAGCCGTGGTTGGGAGCCTGGCCACGCTGGCATCACACAGCCCGGGTTTGAATCCTGGCTCTGCCGTTTCCTGCTTGGGGGGATCCTGGCAAGTCTCACCGTCTTTGCGCTGTTTTGGTGCTTCCATGCGTAAAATGGGGAAACAATCGAACCTCCCCAGCTTGCTGTGAGGATTAAGTGGGCTGATCCGTGAGCTTGGCACAGTGTAAATACCAGTGAAGCCCAGCAGTGAAGGTCCCAACGAATGGCACTTACCGATGACGGTAAGTGTCATTACTGTCGTCCTGAGACCAAGCCAGGGGGTGATGTGCTGTCTGCATTAAGCCATGCTCTCTGCATGCATTATTTTTGTGAGACTCCAGGCTGGTCAAATTTAACAAAAACCAGCGGAATCAATTCTAACTCATGTACTTTGAGGCTAGATCTCCTGAGTTTCAATCTCAGCTCTACTACTTATTGTGGGACCTTGAAAAGCTACAGAACCTCTCAGTTTTCTCATCTGTAAGGTGGGAATAATAATGATAACATTGATGCCTATCATGTAGGGTTATTATAAAGACAAATGAGATAGTGTGTGGAAATCCCATTTATATACACTGTAAATGCTCAATACATTTTAGCTAATTTTTTTTTTTTTTAGCTTCTTTTCCTCAAACTAGTCTCCTTTGCCTGCCTTTTTGCTGAGGATAATCATCAAGGTCAAGGATGAGGGAATACGGGCTTGAGGCAGGAGGAGAACCATCCTAGACACGACGGACGCCAGAGATGCTCAGATCAAAACGATGCTTGCAATCTGCTTACCACCTCTGCACATCTTCCAGAAATAACAAACATATCGTTAAAAGACAAATAATCCTTGTTTAACCACGCTTAGGAAGGTCAAGAAAGTGCTTGGTTCTTTCGGAAGAGAGCGAGCACGGCAAAAATATTCACTGAACTCCCATTAGAATCCTCAGGTCATTAGCATCACGGGTGATCCTACTGCAGAAAAGGCCACTGGAGCCTTGACTGTGCTTGGCCTCCAGAGAGTGTGTCGCGGGCTGGGGGATTTATGCCTCTCTGTGCATTTTTGGTTCACATAAATAATATGGAATGTGGGAAAACCAAGGAGTGTATTTTTGTAGCATTAGACTTAGTTCTGTATGTGTGATAATTTCCATGTTTTAATTTGTAATTAAAAGTCCAGAATAAAGACCACAGAATTAATGTTACAAATATTTTCTCTATAGTTAAGGGAAGTATACTCCACTGATCGAGTGAAAACTTCAACAGTATAAACAAAGAATCTCGATCTTGCAAAATCTATTTTTGTTTTGCTTTGCTTAATTGAAATACAAATGATAGCATTTGTAAACCTCATAGAAATATCCCATGGAGTTAATCAAGAGAGTACATTTTAGAAACAATTATGGGACATCTTGAATGTTGTACCAAATAAGTTTTTTTTTTAAATGACTATTGTAATTGTTTTGTTAAAAACAGACAAAAACGAAATAAAATGAAACAATAAGAAGATACCTAATGACTGTTATTAGGACGTACCTTCCCTTGCCGTGTACTCGTTATCTTCAATCACTCTGGCAAGGCCAAAATCTGCAATTTTGCACATGAGTGACTCAGAGACCAGGACGTTAGCTGCTCGCAGGTCCCTGTGAATGTAGTTCTTCCGCTCAATGTATGCCATTCCCTCTGCGATCTGAAAACAGAAGCAGGCTCTCTGTTCGTATTTGGGGTAGACAATCGTAGAGGGCCATCAAGGAAAACCAAAACACTTACGAGTCCCTGAGATCTTTTCATGTATATTACTCTGATCATTCAAGTTTTAAAGACCATGGGTAATGACAATCACCATTTGAGCCCTTTCTAAAATAACTGCCCCCCAAATCTCCAATAGTAGTTATCCTTTTTTTAAAATAAAATAGCAACATGTCTCAATATTTTCTAATGTGTGAAGAATCTTTTTTAAGACCCCACTACATTCTCACGTGTAGATATATAGATGTCATTATTCCAGTTTTTTGAATAAGAAAACAGATGCCATGGACTGAGTGTCTGTGTCTTCCCCAAATTCAGATGTTGAGATCCCAGCCCCCAAGGCGATGGTATTAGGAGGTGGGGCCCTTGGGAGGGGGTTACAGGCCCAGGGTGCAGCCCTCATGAACGTGGTCTGTGCCCTTATGAAAGAGACCCCAGAGAGCTGCCTTCCACCACGTGAGGATGCGGTGAGATGACAGTGGGCTAGGAACCAGAAAACAGGCCCTCACAAGACCCCAAATTTGCTGGCGCCTTGATCTTGGACTTCCTAGCCCCTGGAACTGTGAGAAATAAATGTCTGTTGTTTAAGCCACTCAGTCTAGGGTATTTTGTTATAGGAGGCCAAACCAATTAAGACAACAGAGCTGCAGAAAGTGACATGCTATTACGAATAAATTATTGGGGTGTCAAGAACAGGCTGTGCCCATCCTCTCTGTCAGGTTAATCAATGGCCCACGGGACCGGTTCTCCAGGTTCTCTCACACAGACCCTTCTGGATGATCTGAAAGACTCTGACAACAAGCATGACACCAGGAAAGAATCAAAGATTTAAACAAAACAATAACATAGGAGAGGTAAAACTACTATTCATCGTTTAATAGAAAATGTGACATCAGTCCAAAATTAGGTTTGTCTTTGTTTTTTTTTTTTTTTTTAAGAGACAAGGGTCTTGCTCTGTCACCCAGGCTGGAGGCAGTGGTACAAACACAACTCACCACAGCCTCCAATTCTTGGGCTCAAGCGATCCTCCTGCCTCAGCCTCTCAACTAGCTGGGTCTATAGGTGAACGCCTGGCTAATTTTTTCTATTTTTAGTAGTTTTGCTCTTGTTCAGGCTGGTCTTGAACTCCTGACCTCAAGTAATCCTCCCACCTTGGCCTCCCAAGTAGCTGGGAGTACAGGCATGAGCCACCATGCCTGGCTAATTTTTAAATTTTTTTGTAAAGACAGGGTCTTGCTATGTTGCCCAGGCTGGTGAAATCAGGTTTTTAAGGAAGACATTACCAAATTATAATGTTAAAGGGAAGGAAGGAAGGCAGGGAGGAAAGAAAAAGAAAGAGAGAGAAAGAGAGAAAGAGAAGGAAGAAAAGAAAGAGAGAAAGAAAGATGGAAGGAAGAAAGGAAATTAAAGGAAAGAACAAAGAGGGAAAGAGAAGGAAGGAAGGGAGGGAGCGAGGGAGGGAAAGGGGAGAGGGAAGAGGGGGATGGGGAGAGAAGAAAGGAAGAAAACAAGAAGGAGGGAAAGAAGGAAAGAAGAAAACTAAGAAAACCAAGTAGCTATATCTGGTAAGCAGTTGGAGGGAAAACTCCAACTAGGACTATTTCACACAGGAATAAATGTATTCTGCCAGCTTCTACCTTGGACTCCAGGTGGCTGAGCTTGGAGGAACTGACTTCCCCAGGCGTCCCAACGGCATCCCTGATCAACACACAGTTGGACACGGTGCCAGTGTTAGCAAAGGCCTGGCTCCTCGGTACTGGCCCTTCCGTCCCTCCCCTCTGCAGTCCCTGGGCTCACCTTCCACCCAGCCAGCCCTCCCTGAACGCAGCTACTCCCGCAGCGGATGGTCGATTTTTACAAAAACCATTTGCAGCTGCTGATCACAGCTTTGTTGTTATTTTTATGCTGTTTAATGTACTCGGTGTCATCACGCCAATGACACAATAAACACCTTCAGGGCTGAAGCCACGCCTCATACCTTTTCTAACCTCTCTTGTATCTATTGGAAACTTGTCACCAAACCTCTTCTCAGAGCCAAAGCAAGTTCTCTGGAAACTGTGCTGGGGTTTTAATATGACCGGAATACTATTAATATGTTGTTAGCACAGTGCTGCAAGAATTTGGCAGATGAGATTTTCGTGGTTACAAAAATCTTGTGTAAAATAATCAGTGTGTCCTACGTCAGTGTCCAAGTCTAGGCAGCCCAGTTTTTCACTTCTGAGGGGAAACAAGGGACGCTGCCCTCGCTCTTCAATGCACTGTGGCCACGGTTCCTCTTCCCGCCCCGTGGCTTCCAACCTCCCTCCTCCGCTTGAGAGGCCCGCTCCCTGCCCGTCCCCGACCTGCTCAGTCTGCGGGTCTCAGTGAGATGCCTCTTCTCTGAGGAGCTGTGCCTGGTGCCCCTCTCCTGCCCGAGTGCATCCCAGGGCTTCCTGCTCCTCACCCGGTACCTGTCCGTGATGGCTGGGCAATGTGGACCCAGGGGCAGGTGTAGCAATGCACATTCCTGTGTCCCAGCACTGAGCATGGGGCAAATCAGACTGTGACAGCAGGAAAAGGTCAGGGCCCGACTGGACAGCAGTGGCGCTGTGTCCCCTGCCTTTCCCCAACTCCCATAAGCCCTTGGCACTCAGGAGATGCACAAGCCTGACCTGCCTCTGGCAAATACTCGAAACAGCCCCTGTAGGCAGTCAACATGGGTGGGCAGTGGGGAGAACCCAGGTGAGGCTGGAGCACCTCTGTGGGTGTGACTTGTCCAGGAGGACTCTGCAGCCCAGAAACAGTGGGGTGGCAGAATGTTCACAGATAGCTCATTCTGGAATGGGCACTACTGAAACGGATGACGACGCAATGTGGCTATTTTGGCGGAGGCTGGGTGCTAGAAGCCATGCCTCTGTTTCCCTTTGTCTGCTGGTAATTCAGGTTCCGCAAGACTTATTAGAAAGAGTCAGTAAAACTGGGGAAAGCGCAGAGTGAGGACCAGGCTGAGCAAGTGTCAGTCCAATCGTAACAAAGCAGAGCTGACGGCTGGGCTTTTAGAGAGAGAGCAACAACGCCTGGTTGAAATGGACCGGAGTCGGTTGCGGGAGCTCAGATGAGATAGAAACAATTGAGCAGTCGCTTCTGACACTGTCCCAGCCTCCTCACTACACTTGACAGTAGTTCAGCCTTTTAAAATTCTTAGTTCTTAGATACTCAGCTAACATTCCAATAATCATATACAAACTGGGCCAGGAACCTGGAAAAGCTGAAGTTGGCTGCAATCCCAACTTACGCCTGAAACTGCGCTTGACAGTAGCAACCTGCAGCCTGTGCTAGACCCTCTCCCAAGGCTGCTGACCGGCTGCACAGACAGTGCTGCGGCGTGGACTGGGCCCCCACAGGGCAGCAGGGACATGCTTGGCTCTCATTCTTGGTAGCAGATTTTGATGACTAGCTCATTACGAAAAGCATCCCAGGAACTTGTTAGTAAGGCTTTTATCACACTTACCCAAGTTCTGCATTTACATAAATCTGAAAGCATTTTTAAAAACGATTCTCTGAAATAATAACAGCCTTGCAACAAGCCTCGTTTATTTTGGCTTTCTTTTCCATGCCAGAATGCTTTAAGGAACTCAGATTCCAGATAATAATAATTAGTATTTGCCAAGATAAGATTTGGAACAATAGCATTAGCCATGTTGAATAAATAATGGATATGGGAGCAAAATAAAAGCTCTGAGATGTGACTTGCTTTTGAGGTCATAAATATCGAAATTCTCTTCTTATAAAATTAGTCCATTCTCTAGTCTTTCCCTGGTCTATATGTATTGTTCTTTCTTTTTTTTTTTTTCTTAACTTTAATTTTTTTTTGAGGGGGGGTGGTATATTTACTTTGACTAAAGTCAATCTGGCTTTATTTTGCAACAGCAGGGAGAAATCAGAGACTACTCTGGTTAATGGAATCTAGGGTCAGCCTTTTCTTCATGGAATGCCTTCTTCCTCCTCCAGGGCGCCCTGGTGTTCAGAGCTGTCACATGAACACATCAAACCCAGGCTCAGCTGTCCCTGGGGACTCCCACTTCCTATTGCTCCAGCAGCTTGGAAAGGCTGACTTCTGTGAGAGCTGTTAATACATAAAATTGTCAAGTCCGGTAAGAAAAGAATCTGATTCAGAAGATTGTTTTGCGCCCTCAGTTATTTTACGGAGATGATGATGATAGGTAAGTAGGTAGGTAAAAGATAGATATTATCTGCCACCACTTCCCCCACCACGAATTGAATACTAACTACAATGCCAGACACTGTTTTACAGCCCTTACACTCAATTCACGGTTCACCCTAATAGCAAATCTACCAGGTAGGTTTCACTTCCATGATACAGATGCAAATGAGGCTTAGAAAATTAAAGAAGCTGCTGAAAGCCACAGAGTGAGGACAGTGCCTGGATTTACACCAGGTACGTCTGACTTCAAAGCCCAGGCTCCCAACTCCACAATCCTAATGTCACATCTGCAAGAGAGCTCAGTGTGGACAGATAATGAGATGGATTACTAGATGCTTCTGGAAACCCAAAGTTTTCACTGAAAGAATACTTCTTTACTGAGAAGAGAGAAAAATATTCCTGAGGCTTCCTCCCAGAATTCATTGTTGCTAGGCCAAAATTACCCCTCAGAAAGGGAATCGCAGACTCTCCCTAGGCGAAGTTCAGGACACCCACTCAGGAAGTACACGCAAAACTTTGATTGGGTGGTCTCTATCCAGAACAGTGTTCCTCAACTTTTTTCAAAGAATTATCACGGCCATTGCACAGTGGCTCACGCCTGTAATCCTAGCACTCTGGGAGGCAAAATCGAGAGGATCATTTGAGGTCAGGAGTTCAAGACCAGCCTGAGCAAGGGCGAGATCCCGTCTCTACTAAAAATAGAAAAAATTAGCTGGGCATAGTGGCGTGCGCCTGTA